TTTTCCGAGATAATTCGGCTAATGAGGGATTTCTTCGAGCAAGGAAGCGAGGAGTTATCGTTTCGTAGGTCTTTTAGTTTATGCTTTTATTTTCCGTAATTTTAGTTAATTTTTTTTAGTTATGCGCGATTATGTGTGTGATGCATCACACGGCCTACTTAAGGTGGAGGCACGCGTTGTGCTATCTATGTGATGTATGGTTGTAATAGTTGGTTGATGGTAAGATGAATCTTCGGGCAGTTGGGCCACTACTGGAAGCAGTAGATGGTCGGATCATTGCTGGACGGTGAGACGTAACGCAACAGTTGATCGAGTATGTTGGGGTCACTACTGAACGGCAAGACGGAACGCAGTAGTTAACCGGGCATGGACTGGACGATGAGACGAAACGCAGTGCCATTGCCGAGTTGGGTATGCAACCGGACAGAGAGACGTAACGCGGTTGGCATGCTAGGGTAGGGACACCGGACGGCGGTACGTAACGTGGTGGTCTCTAGTGTTAGTGTATGAGTTAAGGATTGGAATAGAGATTTACTACAAGCTCAGGATATAGGTAGAGGACTTCTATAAGCTAGTAAGGAATGGTTACTTAAAAGCAGAAGGCCAGAACGACTTTCGTGCTAGGAAGGAAACTCTAATAACATATTTAGTAAGGAGTTTGCCTATGGCGAAGACATTAAGAAGTAACGACAATACTGACCCCTTCACACTCACCAGATGTAGAGAGGGGAAGGGAACACATCCATCAAGAGGAGGTTACCCAAGGAGAGCAGCCGCGACAATCTTGAAGATGTCAGCAGGATATGGGTAACGAGATAGAACCATTAATTTCTTGTCTTTACTTCATGTTTTAATGAGTATACTAGGAAACTCAAGAATTGTGTTTTATGTTTTGTTGCTTTGGATTGAGGTCGTCCAAGTGGTTAGGGCATTTCACTTGAGAATTTTAAACATTGTCGTTGTTGATTTTCGGATGTGACTTATAAACCTGTTTTAGGTTGCTCCGGAGTAACCGGGTTGTGGTTTGAGTTATGGTTTTGTTTTCGAAAAGGATCGGGTCGTTACATTTTGGTATTAAAGCCGGCATTCCTCTGTTTCTTGGTCTCCAAGGAATACTGGAGTGACGATTTGGGTTTTCAAAGGTATAGTTTTAAAGAAAATGGAAATTTCAAGAAAAATGGTTGGCCAACCGATTTGAAAAGGTTATAGAGTCCCCAGTATACTCAAGCATGATAAGACAAATAAATGTGGTTCTAATAAGGTAATACTTACTTGCAGAGCAAGTAATGCTAATGTCAACCACGCGGGAGTTAGGCCAACCCCGGATTATGAGGCTTTACGGAGGCGAGGAGTGGTGGATTTTGATGGGGGCCGCTCGAAGGATGCTACTGAAGTAGAGAAATGGCTGGCGAAGGTCTCGCGCACATTGAATGAAATGAGGGCAGATGATGTGGATAGGGTGCTACTGACAGTATCCCTGCTCTATGATTCAGCATAGAATTGGTGGTGCACCCAGCCACCTAGCTAGGAGGACCCACCAGCTATCACTTGACCAGAGCTGGGTGTTTGATGACCACTATGTACCAGAGGCTTACCGACTCGGCAAAAAGAGGGAATTTTTTATGATTAAATAGAGATGGGGAAAATGAACGAGAGGAGGGTGTTGCAAAGTACACCTCCAGGTTCGAGAAGCTGCTGCCTTACGGGGGACCCTAGTTACAGGATGCGGCAGCTCAACGTGCCCACTATTTCGAGAGTCTCAAGCCTGCCCTTAAGAAGCAGTTGAGCATGCTAGCGTTGAACAGTCGGGAGGAGATTTATTAGGCGGCTCTTCAAATAGAGAGGGTTGACACAGTTGTGCATGAAGAAGAGATACAGCGAGAGGGAAGCAAGAGAAAAACAAGTAGCATGCCAGAGTGGTCCGGCCAGCCCCGTGAGTACAGGAGGAGGCCGAGCGGTACCGGTAGCTTTGGGGGTACTCAGATCTTTAAAGAAGGAGAGTACTTCACCTTCAAAGAAGCTTTAACGAGTGATTTGAGTACTTCATCTTCAAAGGAGGTGAAATAGTTTTAAGTGTTTTTAGTCACTAGCGCCAGTGCGTTGTCGTTTGAGATTTTGAGATAGATCAGCAGTTATATATGCTCTTGAGACTTTTAAGATGAGCAGCAGTTATACTCTTGAGAATCGTGGTGAAAAGCCACCGCGATAAGTTTAAGATGTTAGGCGGCATGAATCGTTACGACTCCCCTAACTAAGTTTAAGTTTAAGGAAAGCCTGGATGGACTCTTGTACGTATGAGTTGGGAAATCAGACTAGCTAGCGAGAGATCCCCGTGTCGGTCAAGTATTTAAGTCGAGAGTTGAGCTTTAAGAAGGGAGAGTAGCTTTAGCTCCCGTATGATGTTAAGAGTTGAGATTTTTAAGAGTGGAAGTACAAACAACTTCTACTAGTTTAAGTTAAGTATCTTAAGAAAAATACTAAAGTGCTATAGATTTTTAACGTAAGGCGTAGACTAACCCCAACTCACCAGTTTAAAGAGAAAGAGTTAGAGGAACAGTTAGATAGCAGTGAGAGAAACGGTTCGAGGGGAGCTAGCAGGAGGAGAACGCTCAAGCATCGCGGAGGACGTCAGCGATCGGATCGAAGCAAGCATCCGCAGAGTTATCTATGATAGTTAAGTAATGATAGTTCTTTTCGGTATTTATTAAAGTTATCTATGAAAACTTTCTGCTATTTTTCTAAGTATTTTAGTTCTTGTTTTATTTCACGGTTTATCAAGAGTATTTTGGTAAAAGTAGTACCCGGCCGGGTTAGGGTGTTTCAAAGATAGTAAAATTGAGACAATTATAGATTTGATCAAGAATCTGCTTTAAATTTGGTGTTTTAATTATTGATCAATCTACAATATCATATATAGCTGAAACTTATAACTGCACTCCCTATTCAAAAAATCCTGGTCTTAGAGTGTTTTTCGGATGCTGAGGTGGCTGCCAGGGTTTTCACCCTATTTCGTCTCCTGCAACCTCCCTCCCTCCCTCCCTCTTTCTCTTTCCATCCCGCAACAAAGTAGACTCCGATTCCCTATCTCCGCTCGACCCTAATCCCCTTGACGCAGAAAAATACACTCCATCTTCTGTTGTATACTTTCAATCTCTTCCCATCCGTTCTCTGAAACGGATTTGAGGATTTAACTTGCGGATAAGCTAACCCGTTCCACCGGCGCTGCTACCTTGGCACTGTGGTCCGCCCACTACATTCTTACAACTTTGGGATCTCAATATATTGGATTTATAGTATATGATAAATTTCGGAGAAGCATTCGTTGATATTGGACATCTGCAATCTCTCGAAATCTTGAGATTAGACCAGGCAGGCAATGACTTTTTCGAGATTGCAGTAAGTTAGGGTTTTTTTTTTGAAGCGGTGAGTTGGTTGGAGGGAGAGGAGCTTGGGCTTGGCAATGGAGAAAGAAACGGTGACGGTGACTTTGGGAGGGAGACAAGAACGGAGTGGGTGGTAGTTGTTCTATGCCTATTGAAACCAGCCGAAACTATCTTGACCACCATTATGCCCTCAGTTAATAATCGCAACCTATCTGTTGGGTTCCTTTAGCTCACTGACCTCGCCCCTCCGTTATTAGCACGTGGGGTGGTTCCTCTTTGCTTCTCTTCTTTTCATCATCTCACGATTGTTATCAATTGCAAATGAAGCTATTTACTTTTTACAAATTTAAGGACCATGTCTTTGTTGGATTGCAGCAGGGAGCTCTAGGTCCGTTTTCGGAACAACTGACTACTCTCAATTAGTAGTAGGTTCTGGCGATTCCACTGTTGTTGGACCGATTATCATGTGTGTCGTTTGACCCGTCTTTATCTTTTCAGCTCTTGCGATTCGCTTCGCACCTGTCTGTTCAATGCCCTGCTGCTACTAGGTGGGTTTTTCCAGCTTTTCTTCTTTCCTTCATCTCGCTATTCAAGTTATAGAAAAATATCTTCTTATTTTAGCTACAAATTTGTTTTCTAGGTCTGTGTCATATTGCTATGTATGGACGACTCTAATGAGAGAAGCCATTTTTGAATTTACTTGGGCGAAGAATCCGTTACAGTTATAATTTGGGTTTATTCTTTCATCTCGTGATTAAAGTTATTGAAAATTATCCTATTATTTTAGTTGCAAATATGATTTTGAAGCTGATGTAGGGTTGCTATGTAGGGATAGTCGAATGGGATAAGTCAGTTTATGAATTTACTTATGCTAATCTCGTATTGTTATAATCTAGATTCATCATGCTGAGGGGTATGACATAGATGATGATGCTCTTTGTTTATTAGAAATCTGAAGTAAATTTCTGTACTTATGGTCATCATGTATGATGAAAAGTAGTCCTTATGTGTTACTTATAGTTCCATTTTCATCCATTCTTCATGTAATAGGGCAAAACTACGTACGAAAGTTCTTGCCTTTTTTGAATTTATCATGGATCTTCTTTCATGTTAATTTCTCCCCCGCAAGACCTCCGACAGGGAAGATTAAAGTTAATACTGACTCCTGGAGATGTGGTGGAGGAATCGGCCTGGGAGTGGTTGTCCGAGACTCTGGAGCAAGCTCCTGTTAGCTGCGGCACGACGAACAAGGGGGGAGTACTCGGTGGAGCTAGGGGAAGCGTTGGCAGCAGGGTTTGGAGTGAAACTGATAATACAACATGGATTGGGGAACCCGATCTTGGAGATGGATAGCCTTATCGTTTTGTGAAAATTGGAGATAGCGACTGAGGATCAAACGGAGGTGGGTGCGGTGTGCAGAAATGTTCGAAGACTGTTGTCAGAGACGAATGGTGGGACGTGGCAACACATCTACGGGGAGGCCAATAGTGCAGCTGATATTATGGCTAAGGTCATAACTAGATGGGAGGAAACACAAGTTTGGTTTGATAGGCCGCCTTTGATTGTGATTGACCAACTTCTGTTGGACGATGTAATGTCATTACCTGTTCAATAATAGCTTCGCGCATAGGTTACCATAATAAAAAACAGTCTAACCTTGCCTCTTTTGTTTTAGCTTACCAAATGGAAGATCTAAACTAACAAAAACCAAGAAAAGAAGAACAATGTACCATTTATTAAAGGGATTCTGGTTCTGGCCTCCATTTCCAGTCTCCGCAAACGAAACCAAGGCAGGCTAGATTTTGGAAGCCATAACGTGTGCAAGCAACGCTAACCAGAAATTCAAAACAATTCCCCTTATCAATGGTCATTGTTAAACGAATTTCTTTCTGTGTGTCTCTATTGCTGGGGGGTTGATGGGATCATTGAAGGGGGAAAAAAATGAGCATTGAGGGAGGAGGAAAAGCGCTTGCTTTGCAGGAAGGGAAAACAGTCAAAACACTTCTCCTGCCTCAAGTGGTGGGTGCCCATTCTTTCCAAATGTCGAACGTGTAACTGATTTCCAAATAGCATTTGTTATCATCATCGACAAACTGCGTTGCATCAAAGTAAATGCACGAGGTCAATGATGGAGTTCTAAATCTAACAATGTACCAAGAACATCGACAGTTCATTTTCAATGAGAAGTTGTACAACCCAGATAGACAGTTTTTTCACAGGACGATGACTGATTGAGAAGGGTTGGTGTGGGTCTATTCTGATAACTACATTTTTCAAATCCGGTTTCGTCATGGAACCTTGTTTGGAAAATAATGCACAAAACATGTAATAATGCAATTCCATGATTTAATGCTATCCATTCTAACTCAAAGCTTCTAAGCATCTAATTGGGAGATGGGTAACAATGCTCAAAATGTCAAAGAAGTACAAAACCTCTGGGCATTTAGGAAACAAGCTTGATTCCAAGAATGACTCAATGAGAACAACTAACCTTTGACCTCGCTGAATATGATCCCCTAGTAAACATGCCAGATGGGGTGGACTCTTCTGGCATCTCATGTATGTAAGGTTCTGGCTGAGGACTAAAGGTACCCAGCATCTCCTTTGTGCCATCAACTACAAGAAGTCCTCTAGTTATAAGAGTTTAACTCTAATCCATAGTTCAAATACTACTTAAGGTAAAAAATAAAATATAGTACGCCCCATTTTAGGAGTTCACAAGTTACCTACAAATAACTTCCAAGATGTCTAAGAAATGCTTTGCCAAGGAGATGACACACTTACCCTTGACACCAGTTTTCCAGACAGTGTTGGTGTACTTGAGACCAGATACAATGTTGTTACTGACTTGAAAGGCGAACTTCAACTTGTACTGACTTCCTTCTTTCAAAGTAAACCACGACCCTTTTGGCTTCCCGTCTTCGGGAATAGATAGGACAATATCAGCTCTATCAGGAGAAAAAATCGATAGACTTAGAATTTTCACTTCTGGCTCAAGTGTTTCTGCAAAGAACCAACATAAAAAAAAGGGTTTACTACAGAAGGCATCCGCAAGTCATCGCAGAATAAATGAGAATGCTCTAACAAATGAAAAATCATCAAGTCGGTTTCCTTCAATACAATGATGAACACCAAATCTTAGCACTTAGGTTTTCCCGGTTAAACACCATTCCCTTCTTAAACTAGACATAGCTATCCCATTTGCAGTCAAATGCATAACTAAATTGGAAGACTGAAATTCAGATATGAGTATCAGAGATTGGAGAAATTGGAGCTTACTTCCTACGTAAAAGGGCCTTTATGGCCCATAATTTATGCAATAGTTTAAAAGTTACGAATTCAACCCATAAGGTAACATTGGATAATGGCAACAGATCACATCTCAAGTTCTTAACCATGCTTTCAATGCACAAAAACCAGCAAACAAGACCCTTAATTACAACTCCAATTACAACCCACAACTCATGGACACAAACATTACCTCCAATATTCTCAAAATCCACACTTCCGAGGAGCTGTTCCTTCCACTTCCTGAGGCTCTCGTCATCCTAAACAAACAAAAACCAGACAATGTTGAAAATTAAACAACCAGTAGCCCAAAATCAAACGAAAAGCAAAAATAGAGCTTTCGTTTCGAATCAAACCTTATCTTTCTCGAGCTGTTCCTTGAGAGTATACTGAGGACCAAGCTCAAGCTTATTGGCTACTTCATCATCGTCTTCGTCATCGTCACCACCGCCTCCATCTAAGGAAGAGTGGCTCGTGTGCTTTGAAATCTTCTCCACACCTTCATCTTCGTGTTGCTTCTGAATCTCTTCATTCTGGTTGTTGTCATCCAAGCCCATGTTATTTGAAGGTGACACAGCCAAAGACATCAACTCATGGAAGAATAAACCAAAACGCAAAAGTAAAAGAAAACCCTTTTGGTCGCTGATAAACGCTTCAAATAGAAAGGAGAAACTGGGATCTCTTAGGGATGGACAAAGGAAATGAGAGGAGGGAAAAATTATCTTTTGGGATAGGCACCATCTTTCTATCGAAAAGAGAGGAGCACAGATGAGAGAAAACCAGAAAGATGGGGGGAAAGTAGGCGAAATGTGGGAAAGCTTGCGTCTTTACTGATTTTTTGGATGAATGACACACAACACAAGTACACAACCAAAGAAACAAAGACCAAAAAAGAGAGATAATGGGGGAAAAGAAAAAGGTAAAAGAACCAAAAAGGAAATAAAAGATACTCGCTTTGGTAGTATTGGAAGCGGGAAAATGCATTAAGAGAAGAGAAATTGCGTGGAAGAGAACTAAGAGCTAAAGAATAGATAGAGAAGTAAATGAAAAGATTGACACATTGTTTTTTTTTAGTTTTCAATAGAGCAATTGAGGAAATGGTCATGTGGTGATCCGAAACATTATAAAATTAGAAGCAAACGTGAAGGTCATTATTGAGATTTATATCTCCAACCCATATAATAATTAGAAACACTTAATGGAAAATAAAAGAAAGTGCCAATTCCACTACAAAACACCTACAATCTAAAAAATGTCACTTCCGTCTCAAGTGTTCAATATAACAATCCTAATATGAACTTTCGTCTCCTTTAACTATAACAAAGTTAACTATTAGTGATCAACAGTCAACGAGTTAACTGCTGATGTTTCCGACGATGTGGATTATTTTTTGCATTAAAAATTTTAAAAAACATTAATCAAAAATATTTTTTTTCCCTTTCACTCATCATCCCACTAATCCAGCACTACCTAGTCCCCACCGCAACCCTTGCCACTTTAAGCCACCGCCACGTACCCATCATATCGTAAGCCACCACCACATACCCTCTCCCCAAAAAATTTGGCACAGGGTTTTTGACCTTTTCGAGATTGAGGACCAAGGATTTTCCATTAATGAATTTGATGGAGCGAGCTCACACGGAGATGGAATCGTCCTGAGAGATGAGAAACTCAATGGCAAGGAGGTAGTCAAGAGTGGGCTTGGCTTTGTTGATCTGGAGGTGATAACACCAAAATTGGTGTTATTACTCTTCATATATAGGTTCTTTTTGGGTCATTTCACGTGCATACTGAAAGATACATCGTCAAGTACACCTTTATATCGTTCCTCAAAGAATATATCGTTATATTAGGTTGTACTAGATGATATGTGCGAATTAGTTACCAAAAGGACACAAATGTAGCAAGAATGGGGCAAAAGCTTAAGATCCCAGTTTGGACAAGGAAGATCACGGTCGGGAAAGGAGCACCCGAAGTGAGAGCAAAGATTGCAGCCTGCATAGCAAAGATCTTGGTTGCGATGTTGGAGACTCCAGTCATGAACTTTAGGAGGAACCAACTCGGGAAAAGAAGAGAGTTTCGTGAGTCAGATGGCAGCCCACGACTTCCCAGCCTGCATGAAAGATAGCGGCCATAGCTCACAGATTGCGATCGTGAAGTTGGCCTGCAATCTCCCCCATGGATGAAGAACAAAAGAGCAGAGTTTGAAGATTGCAGCCTCCCTACTCAAGATCGCGATCGCGAACTCTCTCTTCATGGACGCGCACTTGTCTGAGAACTGAAACTCTATAAATAGGGGATGCATTTTCCTCATTCAGGAGAGCTATTTTTTATTGAAATTTTTGGTTCTTGAGAGAGAAATTTGAGAGATAAGCGGAAGGAACGAGAAGAAGAGAAGGAGGAGAAGAAGGAGGAGCTAGAAGGTTTTATTGAAATTTCAGGTTATTCCTTCTTTTCAAAAAATTTAAATATGCTCTGCAGCAAAAATATTATTTAAAAGTTTTAGTGATTGGGATGTGGTATTTTTGGTATCAGAGCTAGTCTTCCTCGGTCTACAAGGAATGCTAGAATATCGATCTTAGTTTTAAAGACTTTTGTTTTAAAGGCAAGGGAAATGAGTTTTATGTTAAGAGTTTGGTCAAACGAGTCAAGGATTTTCTTTAAAGAGTTTATAAAAATATTCAGTCATTGTATGGTAAGAAATAACTAGTAACGGCTACGTCAATCCTCACAGGAAGCTAGAAGACTTCTACGGGGAGCACTCTATGGATCCGCTGGTGATAAAGATGTTGTTGTCGATGTTCACTCACACCGTGCAAAAGATGCGAGTGGATGACGAGGAAAGATTACTACTAACAGTTTCCTTGCTGCAGAATGTTGCTTACGACTAGTGGACTACACACCCAGCTTGTCGAGAGAAGCCACCAGCCATCACCTAGCCAGAGTTTGTGCGGCTGTTCAGAGACCACTTTATGCCAGAGGCCTATCAGAGCAAAAGCAAAAAGAATAGAGTTTGGCGGAGTATACAACCCGGTTCGACAGGCTACTGACGTATGGTGTCCCATAATTTCAAGATGTCGCTATTCAGTGCAATCACTATATGGAGAATCTAAAGCCTACTCTCAAGCAATCATGATCATACATGTCTAGAAAAGCCGGGAAGAGATCTATCAAGGGGAGTTGATGAACAAGACTCCACCCGAGCTAACTCAATTGCTTGAAGATATGGTGACACAAGGGTATGATTGGGGTTTGATGAGAAGCGGTGTGAGGAATGCCAAGAGAGGAGTACACTCCAGGAAAGTGAGTCCTCCACTTGCCGCCAGGATTAGCTGGTTGATTGATTCTCTTCTTGAAGATAATAAGTAAGGGAAGAAGCCGTTGATGGCATGTGATTGGTGTTCAAGTACCAACCATGACATTTTGGAGTGCCAGTTGATGAAGGAAGAAAGCTCCCCTGAGGAAAAAGTGAGCTTCATCGCTAATGCTAAGGGAACAACAACCCCTATAGCAACACTTACAACCCAGGGTGGCGAAACCATCCGAACTTCTCTTGGTCTTCCCCAAGAAATCCAAGACACCTCTATTTCCAAGGACCAATGGGGAATTATCAACCAAAGCCTCATTTCATTCAACAAAGGCCACATTTCCAAGGACCAACGGAGAATTATCAACAAAGGCTATTATATGGCTCCAAGGGCAGCAGATATTCAACCCGCCATTTGACATTCGCCCGTGGCCACCAACAATTTTGAGATAAAGTCCGTCCTTGTCAGCATGATTCAAAACAATGCCCTATTCCATGGGCTTAGCAACGAGTCTCCAAGGGAGCATGTTCAGAAGTTCATTGACTTGCGGGGAGTTTGAAGATCAATGGGGTCCCCGAGGATGCTTTAAAGTTGAGGCAATTCCCCTACTCTCCTGAGGGGAATGCGTCTCGGTGCCTCAACAATAAGACACCTCTCTCGATAACTTTGTGGGATGATATTCTCAACAAGTTTATGACTCGGTATTGCCCACGTTCAAAGACAGCGGAGTGGCGCAAGAGGTTCACCCACTTTGAGCAAGAGAAAGATGAGACATTTGAGGGATGCTTGGGAAAGGTACTCAGACTACTTCCTCCAATGCCCACATCAGGGATTCGAGGAGTAATTCCAGATTGAGACCTTCTATGGCAGTCTCCACCAAGATGACAAGATCGTCATTGACTCATTATGTCAAGGGAAATTGATGAACAGGACTCCACCCCAAGTGACCGAGTTTCTTGAAGACATGGCAAGTAAAGGGTATGATTGGGGTTTGACGAGAAGTGGAAAGAGAAGCACCGCAAGGGGAATGCAAAGTGTGGGAGTGAGTCCCCCGCTTGAAGCAAAGATTGATTGGTTGCATGATGCACTCCTAGAGGACAAGAAGCATGGGAAGAGGCCGGTAATGGCGTGTGATTGGTGTTTAAGTAACAACCACAAGATTTTGGATTGTCAAATGATGAAAAAATCAAGCACCCCCGAGGAGCAAGTGAGTTTCATTGCCAATGCTAATGGGAACGACACCTATAGCAACACCTATAACCCGGGGTGGCGAAATCATCCGAATTTCTCTTGGTCTTCTCCTACCAACCCAAGACCCCCCGATTTCCAAGGACCGACGGGAAATTATCAACCAAGGCCTACCTTCATTCACAAAGGCCTCAATTCCAAGGCTCCAATTTCCAACAACCGTTCCAAACACAAGGTGGTCAAGGGTTCCAACAACCCGATAAGTTCGCAAAACTTAACAAACTTGTGACCACCTTTGTGAGCACGAGCACTCAAAATTTTGAGAAGATTGAGCAATTTATGGATGTGGCAACAACAAAGTTCCCTCGGTTGAGGCAGATTTAAGGAGCCATCAAGCAAGCCTTCAAAACTTGGAGGTGCAAATTGGTAATCTCGCTGGGATTCTCACCGAGAGACCAAGGGGAGCCCTTCCCTCTCAAGCTATTGTCAACCCCAAATATCAAAATGCCGGTTGCAATGCTATTCTTTTGAGGAGTGGGAAGGTTACCCCTAAGGTTGTTCCTAAGGAAGTGATGGAAGAAGAGAAGACCCCTCCAACAACCAATGATCACGAAGAAGAGGGAGAAAAGGAAGAAGAACCTAAGAAGGCATTGCCGACGCCACCACAAGTGGCTGAGTACAAGCCTCCTCTTCCTTTCCCCACAAGGATGTACAAGGACCGATTGGAGGCAGAATGTGGTGGATTCATGAAGTCGCTCAAGAAGCTCCGCATCACTATTCCATTCTTGGAGGCCATGGTGCACATGCCGAGGTATGCCAAATACCTCAAGGGGCTTCTTGCCAAGAAGCCAAAATATGAAGACCTCGCCAATTTCACCTTAGGCGAGGAGTGCTCTGCCTTATCCTCAACAAGTTTCTTAAAAATCAACCGGATCCAGGTAGTTTTACTATACCTCTTTGTATCATAAATAATCATATAGAAAACTCCTTGGCGGGCTTAGGTGCAAGCTTAATGTGATACCTTACAAGCTTTTTAGAAAGTTGCATTTGGGTGAATTGAAACCCACTAGGCTTAGTGTCACATTGGCTGATCGTTCTATAGTTAGTCCTTGGTGTATTATGGAGGACGTCCTAGTGAGAGTTGGCAATTTCTATTATTTGATGGATTTTTTTTTATCCTTGATATCAGTGA